AAGACAAAATGTGTCATGTGTGTCACACTAGTGGAAATTCAGTTTTGTTTTATATATTTCCTTGTATAATTAAGAACTTAAAACTTGTATACTATTAAAATATGGATTATTAGCCAAGATTTTATGCTGTTCTAATTGATATAACATAAACAAAAAGTAGTATAATAAAATTTTGAATGTAAGACACTAAAACCTTGTGTCATGCGCAGTAAAGGGTACCGATGTAGATAGTTAATTAGTATACTCAATCACTCTCTCAGCTAGTCAAACTACTCAACTTACTTTGTAATTTAAAATCAAATAAATATTTAGAAACTTGCACAAACACAGTATCTATGTGGTTTCCATATAAAGTTGAATCTTTAATTTTACAATGTAGATAGTTAATTAGTATACTCAATCACTCTCTCAGCTGGTCAAACTACTCAACTTACTTTGTAATTTAAAATCAAATAAATATTTAGAAACTTACACAAACACAGTATCTATGTGGTTTCCATATAAAGTTAAATCTTTAATTTTACAATGTATTATTTGAAGTATGAAAAATTCCTTTATTTGTTCTCTACGTAATACCTATAATTGTATTTTTCCAATGTTTATTATATTCAAACAATCGATTTATATTCTTTATTCATGATAATTCTATGTATTTAATAACTTTAATATCAGATATCAGTTATTGTTATGACTGTTGTCTAGATGCATCTTTTAAAATGGAGTTCCACAGTTAACAAATTTTTATCGCTCAGTATATTGTTACCCGATTAAGATCCTGGTAAGAGGGCCAAAAGCATGCAAATAACTTAACTTAGATAAAAGTCAGTGTTTAATTTTACATATTAACTTACCTGCATTATGAGTCTTAAACAACATTTTACCTTTTGTGATACTCTTCCTGAGTAGGTATTTCCTCTCCTCTCACTTCCTGGTGAAAGTCACAGCTGCACTGCTCATTCTGAAATGATTTTTGTAAAATGATTAAAGTTTTTCATCATTCTTATCTCTTTCAATATTTTTAACATATTTTCTAATAAACGTCGTTACTACCCGTACAGCGAAAAAAAAACAAATTTAACCTTATTTCAAATTTGTTTTTTCACTGCACAGGTAATAATGACTATTAAAAATAGATTTTTATCAATTTGAATATCAGAAATACAAATGAACAAACATTTAAGTATAATCATTTCCATCAATACTATGAATTCTAACACTTTTATATGTTTGATTATAAACAAGATTATGACACTTATGATGTACAACATTGTTTATTGACAAAAAGGGGACATGGATAAACATTTCAGAATTCTATCAGATTCCATCTTCAGTATCTAAAGCAGAATAAAATTAATTTACATCAGTCTTTATACATTTTCAAAGTACAGTTGCTAAATATAACAATAATTAAACAAATAAAACAGTAATCATGGGGAGAAACTACAGCAAGAAAACCGAAGGGGG